ATTTGAGGATGTTAGGTTGTCGTTCATCTGTCGTTAGCTGGATGAGCGTTACGCATCCAGGGTAGGGCCGGGTGTGATAAGGCCCGGCGTGGATCAGTCGGTGCTTCGCCATAAATGCGAGTGCGAAGAGGCCAAACATTTGTCGTTTGGCTCTCGAAGCAACTCTTCGTGAGCGTATAGACCATTATATTATTGAAGATAATATAATCATAGGAGGGTTGATAGGACTGTTTTGGTGTAACAAGACTGTGATCCTACCCTACCTCGAGACGCGCATCAGAGCAGGATAGACAGAGAGTGTACACACAGCATTCCATAAGGTCCGCCCTTAGTGCTCATACCTCTAGGCTCGACAGGGATCCGTTCCCAGCCCGTCCTCGCCTACTGTGATCGCGCAAATCAAGTTAACGAGGCTGGAGTGAGCCAGCCAAGTCAAGCCGGAGCTTTAAGGAGAGCTCCTATCGTATTGTATCATCATTAACCCACAGCCAAACGACTGAGAAGGTCGGCGAGTCGCCCTGAAGTAGGCGGCCGTGAGAAGCAAGGGATCGGGCGCCAGTACCCCGAGTTTATTGTGCAGCTATTGTTGAAAGCGATCCGTCGCTGTATATTCTCCAAGTGGTGTCACCCATCTATTGAGCTAGGCTTTTCGCGTCCGCGCACTAAGCCAACACAGCTCGTCAGCCTTCCGAGGCACATCGAATACGCAGTGTTAATCGGCCTCAGGTTACTTCTTCGCCTGGTTCCGACCAGCGCGAGGAGCGCAGGCGCATCAACCCTCCGGCGGCAGCCATCCGTGGCATCAGTGCCGTGCTTGTCGCGTTCTTATTTTCTTTTTCTTTGCCGCAAAGCTGCTGTTATTGTCCAGCTTGTGAGCTTTTGGCGTGGTTGATCTGGCTAGCAGTGAGTCAGGATTCGTAGCCGAAGCACCCCTTTCAGTGCGGAGCTTCCGAGCTCCTGGGTGTTGTTTGGCATTCCACGCGCCCATCGGGCACATTTGTGTGATTATATTAAGTGTGGAACCAGCTAGTGGTGGCTCTAGTGGTGCATCCGTGTGCCGAGCCCTAGCTGTTGGAGAACTATTAATCTCTGCCGTACTCAGCCACCAAGCGCTCCGGCGTTGGTGTGTGTCCCAGGACTATCGTACGTGCACACAGGCTCCGGCCATACAGACTCATCAGTGAGATAGTGTCCCCGGACATCACTGAACACTGCGCTCTCACTAGAGCCTTGTAAGAGTCTCATTATCTTTTGAGCGCTGGCAGACTCTCTACGTCGTGTCAATCCCCACCGCTCAGCTCGGCCCCCAGGGTCCATCGAGCATTCAACTGCGCCAGCGCGCCCTAGGAAAGGTCACGCAAAGCAACAAAAGGGAGTGAAGAAGGGTCCGCCCCTCCCTGCTCAGCAGCAGCAGCCAGGACTGGAAGCCGTCACTGAGCAGCACGAGCAGGAGCAGGAGGTTCTGTGGCTTGAGAACCCTGAGTACTCCGGTACTGCATCAGGGTTGGGCAACAGCCTCGCGTCAGAAGCACGCGTCGAGCACGCAGGCAGCAGCGGTGATTTGGAGCAAGTGGACGCAGCCGAAGCAGCAGAGAGTGAACACAGCCACTCGCCTGATTTAGAGCTAGGACCAACTTTTCGGCTACACAGCCGAGCCTCCTCAGCAGTAACTTCGGTACCTCAGCAGTTTCCGCTTCCAAGCAAACCCTCAGGAGAATCCATACAGTCTTCACCTTCCATCAGCCCTTGGTACAGTGATACCGAAATGGAGAATACAGACTCTTCGTGGTCGGGGCCCACGATGCTCCGTTTTCGTCACGAGGAGTTCCCTGCCTTCAAGCGGGGGGCGCTGTGTGCAATGCAAACTCTGCGCGCACGCTTCAGGCTCAACAAAGGACAGGTGCCCGTTGATGAAGCTCTCGACTTGATCAACACCTTTCCTACACCAGGTACTATGTACGACATCTGGCATAAGCAGCAACTACATACGTTAGTTAAGGATGCTCGTGCATGGTTCAGCCGCCGCTGCACGGCAGCTGCCCGGGCAGCTAGTGCGGAGGGAGAGAACGTGTCAGCGGCAGTGCACAATGCTATCGAGCCAGCACTGGATGGTGAGAGCCTTCTCGAGTATTATCTCGAAAAATTAGACGAATCTTTTGCTCATCAGCATAAGACAGCCAAGGTTCTGGAGTATTTGCGGACTAGGCAGGACAACGGCTCACCACAGCTGTACCTGCAGCAAATACGGGAGCTTGAACCGTACATTCAAGACTCATACTCCCGTGCAGTTATTGCGGAGCGCTACGTTGAAGGCCTGGATCCAGCAGTAAGGGAGCGCATCAGAACCAAGTACGAGCTCACCCCACGTGAGGGATGGTATGCTCAACTCAACAGCATTGCAACGGACGCTGAAACAATCTGGATCAACCTGCAGCAAGCCCAGGCCGAGCGGGAACGACATTCCAGCAGCGACCACGCCTCCGGGTCCAAGCAAGCTATTACAAGTGAGAGGGAGAAACGGCTGCGCAAGCAGCCAAGCAAAAGAAAAGACAGCGGCTCCGGCCAGTCTAAGTTCTATTGTAAGCACCACGGCGCCAACAGCTCCCACGACAGCAAGGATTGCCGGGTTCTAAACGGTCGCACAACAGGAGGTGGCAAGAGCGCCGCAGCTACGGGTTCCCGTCAGCCTGATGAATTGGCGGCGATGATCACCGCAGCAGTACAGTCTGCATTAGGCGCGAGTCGTGCTGCTATGGTTTCTACATCCGAGCAGCAGGCCCCAGCCACGAAGTATGCTGCCGATCAGCAACGGCGGCAGAACCGAGGTGGCGGAGGCAATATCAACAATGGAGGTGCTTCCAATAGGCGTCCCCGCATGTACGATGGTCCGCCCTGCGAGTATTGTGGGCGGTATGGCCATGATGAGCCAAACTGCCGGGTGCTCCACCCACAATTGGCGCCACCCGGCTGGGAGCCGCCTCTTAAGGCGCTCCAGGTGCTGTTCCAAGCTAACAAAGAGCAGGCACAGCAGAATCGCGAGCGTGGCGCCGCACCACGCCAGCACCGAGCAGTGGCTGTCGGTGCTGTGCACCATGATGAGGAGGACACCGAGGATGATGATGAGGTTTACG